CCTGCCCATGGCAGGGGGTGTGGGGGAGTGGAACTGGATGGTCTTTGAAATAGTGAGATCACAGACACTAAGCCATGTGGTCCCAAGTGCATCTCCCCTTTATGTACACCATGTCAGCAAGAAACCAGTAAGTAAGGACCCGACGTAATCTGTTTTGCCTAAGGGTCCTGTTAAGGAAACTGCTCATGCTTGTAGCAAAGACAAAAAATACTCCAGCAGAGTTCTGGAAAAGTAAAATATTTCATAGAACTGATACACCACTGAAATCCTGACCTCACTGAAAGCTCACTGAGGTGAGGGGTCTGCAGTTTTGCCAGGAATAGCAAAGTTGTTGGCTTTTCTAGCCTGAGCTAATCCTCTTTAAATGCAGAGACATTTGAGCTCAGTATTCCCAACCCAAGAAGGGACTTTTGCTGCCTGCTGTCCTTCCAGAAGCTCCTGTTTCTGAGAGTCCCACCTCAGCATGTGACTCTGGAGGGAGCAGCACTTGGTGCAGGGTGAGCCAAAAACCAGTCTTGGAAAACTACTGAGTAACTTGAATATGGGATGGTGGGCTCAGGAATAACAGGCTGAGAGAGTTTTATACCAAGATGCTATTTACTTTGAACAGTCATATTCAGCCACAGTATAATGTCTAATCAATCCACATGAATACAACTACGACAGGTAATTAAAAAAACAATAAACGAGGATGCTAATAAATTAAGTACATTTAACTTAGATGGGACAATGGTCTTTGTGACAGCGGTGGCAAAGGCTGGTTCTGCAGTCACTCCTCTAGGATGCAAATGCCAAGCGAGACAAATCCCTGGGGATTCCCCCTCCCTGCAGTCCTCATCCCGCACATACGGAATGCACGTGCTGGCCTCTGTCCTTCCTGTTGGCACAGGGACCTCCACATTCCTCCATCCTCACAACATGCAACACTTTCCTTTTGCTTTCACTGCACCACTGCGTTGTTCCTTCTGCTAGTACACAAACACTTTTCTATCTAATAATATATAAAGCAGAGTCCCCAGAGCCCATCAAAGCCACGTCCAACGGCATCTTGTGGCACTTAGCGTGTATCAGTCCTTCCGTGGAGGCACCCAAAGGTGACAGCTTTACAAAAACAGAACAAGCTGCGAACTTTTCAGATTTAATACAGAGATTTAATAGAGCTCACAGACACTAATGCTCCATCTGGAATCCAGTGACTTTTACACCTTCAGGAGAAGCAGAAGATGGATCCCACCCCAAATTAAAAGGCAAGAATAGGGATTTTGAGAAGTCTTTGCATGACAAAAGCATAAGCAACGGTGACTTTCAGAGAGGCTTGTTCTCCTACAATGCTTAAATGCCTTGAAAACATCACCCACACCAGAGTGGAGAGTGAATGCCATCCTGTGCCTTACATAATTCCTACTACAAGATAAAGAAATGGGAGCTGTGATATGAGAATAGTGATTGAGTTCAGAGGAAAAACCACGCACTCCCTGCACCGACCCACAATACACTGACACCTTGACAGCTCAGCAGAGGTCCAGTTCTCCCACTTCCCTGGAAACTGCTACTGTAGCAGTTTCTGAGGAGCAGAGCTGTTTTAGGAGAGCTGCAGTTCCTGTTTGGAATGAACTGTAAGCTAACACACCTCTGGGTCCCCATTAGTCCGAGATGTGCCAGCAGGGTGACGTTGACAGCAGCAGGACAGGGGTTGTGCAGCCAGGGACACCGAGCACCCAGAGCAGGCGATGTCTGGGAGAGGCGAGCGAGCCCTGGCACCCGCTGCTGTGAGCCACAACACCACTGGCAGCTGCTGGGTTTCTCCCATGTATGCTGATCATCCAGTCAACATGTAAAAACAAGGTGGCACCGGCCTTCAGGGCAGGTGAAGGTGTTACTGTACAGGTACAACAGAACAAGAACCCTTCTGCGACGTGTGCGCTCTGGAGCACCGCTGTTGTTGGGTTCTCTGTAAGTAGGTTCAACTGGAACAGACTTGACCCTCTTCCACACCATCAGGAAGGGATGTGATGCCTGTCTGCAGCCCCCTCACTCCCACTTCCCATACCGGGGGAAACAGGCCTCCTTGAGTCTTTGCTTCATCAACTCCAGAGACTCCTGTTCCCACCTGCCTCTTTTGTTGGTGTTGCCAGCAGAGATCCAGCTCTGCCCTGCATCAGTCAGTGTGACTGTCCTTCTCCTCCTTGGGAAGCAGCAGGCTTGACCTGGCCGGAGAGCTGGTGGCTCTCTTGATCACCTCCATCCACCTGCCAAGAAAGGATGTAAGAAATGCTCATGCCCCTCACTCCCAGATAATCTTATCTTTGGTTGTGAGCTGTACCCCTTTCCCAAACCTCCCAAAACAGACTCTTTCTTTTACAAGTCTTTTAGGAAATTGACTCTTCAAATGAACAGCTTGAGATGTGGTAAATACCCTGCAGAACGTGGTTGCCTGTCCAATAGCTCTACAGTGCTCTGAGTTCCAGAGAACTCCCCTGAGAGCTCACCATGTTCTCCCCTCAGTGCTTATCAAGGACGACAAGCTGACAATAATTGTTGCTTTTCGTACAATAAATTAGGAATTAGGTACAGCCTTACTCATGCGGAAGAAAGCAAAGCAACAGTGAGAAAAGCAAGACAAACCCACTGTGAATGAGACATTTTCCCTTGAAATCACTACATGAGCCCAGTGGATTAAAGAGCACAACTTACAGCTCGGGTAGCTGATAACTAAGCTGTTCACAAGCGTGTGACACTCTCCCAAGGAAGGGGGACATGTGACACCCACATTCCAAAGCAAGCAATACGACCCTGCATGGCAGGACCCAGGGCAAGGGTTTTCAACATTTAATATAACAGCAAAGTTTTGTGCGTGATGCATTTGACACACAATTCAGATCCTGTGTGGAAGCCCCTAAGAGCAGTTAATTGCAATTATAGAGAATAAGAATAATTAAAAAAAGAGAAAGTAGCCAAGTGAAAGGCAGCCCTGGACTTGTTGTTCTCAGCCTTATTATAAATCCTGCTTCCAGAGGGTGAAGAGAGAAAAAAAAATGTATCTTTCCAGAACCTGAAAATCTGACACCCAAAGAGGTGGTGGGGCTGAGCACCCCACAGCCCTTCCTCCCACGTGCCTCTCTGGCTCCAAGGAAGCCTCCGACTCCTGGCACAAGGCACAGCTCACAGGTCTGGTTGCACCCCCAGCTCTTCCCAACACAGAGGAGGGTTCTGGCACAGGAGGGATCTCCAAATATCATCAGTGGGAAGTGAAAGGGAATGTTATTCCTGAGAATGTGCTGGAAGGTCACTCGGACTAGGAGGAAAGAGAGGTCTCAGGACAACCAACCACTGAGTTAACAGCAGGTCATACACCAGGATGGAGGAAACAGAAAATTACCTCTCAAAGGTGTATTTGCTCTCAGCCCTGAAGAAATACACGTGGGACTTGAACTGAAGCTTGAAGACATAATCCTTCTGAATCCCATCCGCCTCCACGGGGGAGCTGACGGTGTAGCCGAGCAGCGGGAGGCTGGCCAAGGGATAATCGTCCTGGAAGAGCCCAAGAGCCCAGCCCTTAGTGTAAGGCCCCCCTGCCACACCACTCAGCCCAACACGCAGGCACAGGTAAGGGCTGTGCACTTTGGTTTAGGAGAGGACAGGAGGAGGAGCAGCCTCTGCCTCTTCTGCAAGGCCACTGACAGCTTATAATGAAACCTCCCCCCAACTCCTTTCACCATTTTTATGGAGTTATTTGCTTGTTCCCCTGCCCGTCGCTACTGCCTGGGCTCCCTCTTCCCTCTCTGCACCCTTTCTGTGGAACTCTAAGCACAGATCTGACACAAAAGGTAAAATAACCCTCCCAAATCAAACGTGTCCTGGAGGCGAGAAGCCACAATAACCCAGTAATTGGGTTAATAAACACAGTTTGTTGGGTTAATAAGGTGAAAAGGTTGAGCTGCAGCACGGTTTGCTGCACCATGGGCAGGAAAATCCCTGGAGCCTGTTGATCTGAGCTAAAGCCCAGAAAGCCCAGAAGGGAGAGAAGTGGGCCAATACTGCCTGAAGGCTGCCAGGTCCTTCACCTCCATTAGTCACTGCATGGGGGGACCCACAGAAGGTCAGTACCACCAGAACTGGAAATCCTGATTAAATTCCACAAGGAGGGCCCACAGCTTTTCAGAGACCAGCTTTATTATGAACTACCTCAAACAGCAGTGAGCTGCCCCTGGAGCTGAAAGGCAAGGACCTCCAGGCATCCCCAACACCCTAAACACCATCCCCTCACCTACCCCTGCTCACCTGGTGTGTTTTGTAGAAAAACAAACAGAAGTTGGTGAAGACAACCCACAGTTTCTGCCAGCCATTGCTGTTCTTGAACTTCCTCAGCAAATATCCAGAGAGCTGGTTCTAGCACAGAAGGAAAAGAGAACTGCTGTGAGACCACAGGTTGCCATCCTGCTGCAGGTAAACAGCCCCAGGCTGCCTGCATCAACTGCTCCTGCACTTGCTCCCCAGTGTAAAAGGCCTCCCAGGTCTGGTGACAGCCACCAGGGTCCATCCCTTCAGCCACCCTTTCTTATGTGCAGAAAACCCACATGGAACACTCTGCATGAGAAGGGAAGTAAAGCAGGAGACGAAACAGAGGGTGGCAGAGGTGGGGACAAGTGACACGTGGCAGCTACGCAAAGCCAAGCCAGCGTGGAAGGGGCTGCAGGGAGGGGAACACCACTGCCTTGGCGTCAGCCAGGGGGATAAGGAAACCTACACCACAGAATGACAGCGCAGCGATTTTGGGATTTGAGAAACAGACAGGATACATGGTAGATTTACACAGAGAACCATTTTGTGAGGCATAAACAGAAGGAAATCCTGTCTCTACAAGGCAATAGTACAACCCTGCTGCTGAGGATGAGCATCCTCACGCCAGCAAGTGAGCAGTTAAGAGGCAGGACATTTTTCTGGGCATCCCATGGCTCCTCCCCACCAGTGCAGAACGTGAGAGGCATCTTTACCTGGATCATGCACAGGTAATCAGACAGGGATAGGCTCTGGTTCCGGTACCAACAAACATGGGTGATTGTGTTGGGCCGTTGGGCCTGGCCCAGCAAATAGCGAGGAGGAAGCTCTGGAGAAACAGCAAGAGAGCAGAAAACTGAGCAGAGAAAGGGGGAGAGAAATAGAAAAACAGAATGTTAGGGTGAGAGAAGTGATGCAAGAAAGGCGGCTGTTAAAGGAAAAAGGATTGTGAAAAAAACAATGGTGTTAGAACACGGAACAGATCAGAGCAAGAGAGAGTGCAAGAACTCACGTTCAATCCCAAAACCTAAAGCAGGGTGGGCTCATTATCCAGGCATAAAACTGTGAGACTGGTGCCTTTTCCAAAGGTGTCAGCAGGGAAAGGCAGGCCTGTCCTCTCCAACAGAAATCACAACAGAAACCAGCTCAAGTGCCCAACTTCTGGACCCCAAGCCCAAGTAACATCTATAGCATTTCTCTTACCCAGCAGACCCACAGGCACTCTGTATCAGGAAAACCCAGGAGCTCCAGTGGCCAAACTTTTAACTTCTTCTATTAAACACGTTCCTCAGGAGCAGGGCAGGGCAGGCAGGGACAGGCAGCAGCACCACAGCACGCTGCCCCATTGCTGTTGTCTAGTTAGTGACCTCCTTTTTCTCTCCACAGTACTTAGGGTCCTTCCCACTTCTGGAAGCCTTCCAAGCATGCCAGCCTCCAGGAAGGTGTCCTACCTGCCAAACTGCTGCCTAAAGTGAAACCACAGAGGTGGGGCAAGCAGTGTAAGGAGTGCTGAACTGATCTGTCTTGAAATCCTCAGGATTCAGGATTCAGTACCCAAACATGCCACCAGTGCCACATTGCGCCGCACCAAATGGCAAGATCCGAGGTACCAGCGGCTCACAGAGTCAGAGGATCCCAGAATGGTTTGGGTTGGAAGGGACCTTAAAGCTCATCTTATTCCACCTCTCTGCTGAGGGCAGGGACACATTCCACTAAACCAGGCTGCTCAGAGCTCCATCCAGCCTGCTCTTGAACACCTCAGCAAGGACACAATAAACAACTGTGCTCAGCATAACGTGATGCTGCCACGAAAAGGCAACTGGCTGGTTCAGTCCTGCCAGCAAGGGAAGGGCAGAGAAGGTGTATTCCCACTGAACTGAACTCCCTCTTCTTAATTCTGGGTGCAGTACAGCAGCTAACCAGAGCTCAGTACAGCAGAGTCAGTCTCTGAAGGGAAATATCATGGATAGGTAACTCATAGAATCACAGAACCAGTAAGGTTGGAAAAGACCTCCAAGATCATTAAGTCCAACCTCTGACCAAATCCCACTAAACCATATAGTGAAGTGCCACATCCACACATTTTTTGAATACTTCAGGGATCGTGACTCCACCACTGCTTGGGTAGCCTGCTCCAATGCTTAACCACTCTTTCAGTGAAGAAATTTTCCTTAATATCCAACCTGACCCTCCCCTTGCACAACTTGAGGCTGTTTCTTCTTGTCCTGTCCCTTATTCCTTGGGAGCAGAGCCTGACCCTCCTGCAGCTCTCCTCTTCTGTCAGGGAGTTGCAGAGATTGAGAAAGTCCCCAGGAGCCTCCTTTTCTCCAGGCTGAGCCTGCCCAGCTCCCTGAACTGCTTCTCATCAGACCTGTTCTCCAGACACTTGCCCAGCTCTGCTGCCCTTCTCTGGACACACTCCAGTCCCTCAATGTCTTCCTTGTCAGGAGGGGCCCAAAACCAAACACAGGAGTCGAGGCTCCTCACCAGTGCCCAGTGCAGGGGGTCGGTCAGTCCTCCAGTGAAGGAGGATGAAACCCAAAGGAACAACTCAGTCCTAGGATATCCTGGGTTTCCTTTCAGCTTTCCCTGCTTTGGTGCCGTTGCCAAAGCAAAGCCCTGCTGCACGGAGAGCGTGAGTACAGACACACAGACATGCAGAGAGGGGACAAGCATGCGGTGGTGTTCGATGGCCCGTGCTCTCCCCGGATACAGAAATGCTGCCGAGGAGGAATGGGAGACGGAGGCCGGGGCAGGAGGGACAGAGAGAGGCGAGCGCTGCCCCCGCGGTACCTCGACGGCCACACTGTGGTCAGTCATGGAGACGCTGGTGTTGCGGTACCAGCACACGTGCATGGTTGTGTTGGCACGGTGGTGACTCTGCCTGTCCAAGGAGCTACGAGAGGAGTGTATGTCATCTTCAGACTCCTGTTCTAGAGAGACCTCATCAGAGGATCCTGGGGGAGGAGAATTGGGCAGCGGTTTAAGAAAACTGTGCAGTACAAAGAGCAAGAGAAGCTGGGATTCCTCAGAAAGGCTGTTTTCTCTTGCCATGGTCAAGCTGAACTGGTTGCACAGCTCCTGTGAGCACTCACTGAGCAAATTGATCTGATTTTTGCTACTCAGCTCTGCCTGGGGCAGCTGATTCATAGGATCACAGGATGGTTTGAGTTGGAAGGCACCTTAAAGCTCATCTCGTTCCGACACCCTGCCATGGGCAGGGATACCTTCCACTCGAATAAAATCACAGAATGCTTTGATTAAGTGCTGTGTCAAACAAACAAACATGACCACAACTTCCTCTTGAGTCGGGAGGAACAGCACAGTGTTCCTAGAAGGCACACTGCATGTTTCAGCACAGCCATGCCACCAGACAGACACAGGAATGTAAAAGCTGCCCTCCAAAGATACCACAGTTTGGACGGAAAAAAATCACTACATGTTAAATTGAGAAAAATCTATGCAAGAGATGAATAAGTACCTTATAAAATTAACAATTCTGCAATGGGAGGATCTCTGCTGCATTTAAAGCTACCTTGAACGTCAGTCTAGGAAGACAAGCATATTCCTCTTGATTAAAACCAAAGCTCCATTAACTCTCCATTACTATATGAATTATAAAAATACTTCATTTATGTCATCAAATTCACATCAGGAAAGGTGAAAAGGACAGGACAACTGCTGCTTTTCAAGGAGGCAGGAAACATCACTTACTATTGGAGCGGTTGCACACAGAGTTTTCCAGAAGCATCTCAGATTTCTCAGTAGATTTCTTGGCCATTTCAATTGCCACGTTTAGGTCTTCCATCCACTTCCCCATCTCCAGGCGAGTACTGCAAGAGAAGCAGTGGGAATGGGGATCCTCCAGCCCAGAGCTGTGACTGAGTGCCCGTGTGCTGGCAGGAGGCACAGGTCACCACCCAAAACAAGGGGCAGTCCCTTTCCATTAGATAAATCAAAGCAAAATTAGAATTCCTCCAAAGCAGGAGCTTTCCAGAGAGGAAACAGACCTCACACAGCCTTCATCTCTATACTCAAGCCTTGAAATAAGACTAAAATAACCATCAAACACTTGAACTTTACTGCAGAGAGAATGAACAGACAGCTGGGGGAGGGCACAGAGCATCCCCTCCAGAGCTTTTGGGCTCAGAAAAGGAATCAAACATTTTGGAGATGGAGGGGTATGAGCAATTATATTTTTGAAGGATAAAAGGCAACTTGAAAGACATCCCATCTTCTAAAGGGATCTGACATCTCACGTGAGTAAAACCCAGAGTGCAGGAAGAGGAGGTTTCCTTCACCCCTCACAGGTTCCATTACAGGATGGGAGATTCACAGCTCCTCAGCGTGTCTCTGTATCCATGGATATGCAACAGAGGAAGGTTTGCCTTTAGACAAGGCCACAATTCTTTTTTTCTTTTGGTAACCATCTCTTTTTTTCTGAAAGTTTTTAATTTGGAGTAAAGGTTTCGCACATGGTCTAAGCCCAGCAGCAATCTTTATTTCTTACACGTATTCTGAGCTATTTCAAAGTTATGACAATGTAAAAATTTTATTTATTTTTCCAAATTTAAGAATCTTTCAAGCACCTTATGATTTGCAGCTGCTGAGAAATGGTTGATCTTAAAAAAAAAAAAAGGACATTTTCAGTTGTTAGGCTGCATATCAAAAGTATTGGTTCCTGTGCCACTACACACCTGATGTGTGGATATTCTGTAGTGGTTATTTTTCAAGAACAGGTCATCAAGCAGTAAAAAACCCTATGATCTAAGGTTGAGATTTAGTGTTCCCACCCTGCATCCTTAGCATTCCCAACTCCATCTGCCTTTTCAGCACACCTGCAGAAGGACAAACCCTCCTAAAACTGATCCTGAGACACCAGGTACAGGAGATACCCTAAGTACAATTCAGGAAGAAAGCAACAGAAAGGTACCAAACTCACTGCCCAAGGATAAGTTAGACTGAAAAGGAATTGGTTTTATCTCCAAGTCAGCCTTTGATTTTTCCTCTCCTTTCCATCAGATCTTGCAGGAACTCTCCCCTCCTTACAGGAATTTGCATGTTCTGGAGTTTAATTCTTTTAGGTCTCTAAAATATTTGTATGTTTGGATTTCTCCTGTAGTGGCTTGAAGGATGACACTGGCAACTCACAAGTAAACCAACACAATGGCAATGTTATTGCTGCTGTTTGTGTTTTGGGTGAGATAGAATCACACTTCAAAGCTCATCTCATTCCACCCCCTGCCATGGGTAGGGACACCTTCCACTAGCCCAGGTTGCTCCAAGCCCTGTCCAACCTGGCCTTGAACACTTCCAGGGATGGGACAGCCACAGCTTCTCTGGGCAACCTGTGCCAGGGCCTCCCCACCCCTATGTCCAATCTAACCCTGCTCTCTGTCAGTGGGCAGCCATTCCCCCCAGTCCTGTCACTCCAGACTCTTGTAAACAGTCTCTCTCCTTATTCCTTGTTGGCTCCCTTCAGGTACTTGAAGGCCACAATTAGGTCACCCCAAAGCCTTCTCTTCTCCAAACTGAACAATCCCAACTCTCCCAATCAGCCTTTCCTGAATCCCTCTGATCATCTTGGTGCCTCCTCTGGACTCGCTCCAGCAGCTCCATGTCCTTCCTGTGCTGGGGACCCCAGAGCTGGAGCTTCAGGGAGGAATCTCACCTGAGCAGGGGCAGAGTGGCAGAATCCCCTCCTCACCTGTTGCCCATGCTGTGGGGATCAGGATAAACTACTCCTTCCCAAAACTCAACACTGAAAAAGGAGTTGTGGAGTGTCCTGGGCTTATTCTGAAGTCCAGAGGGTGCATGAAACATCCCCCCCTAGCCCTGCACCAGTCAAGCAGTAACTTTCTGGAGAAGGAATCCCTCAAAGCCACAGGCAATCGAGGAAAACCAGGATTACCTGGCTGCCACCACTATGGTTTTCTGTGCAGAATAGATGGTGAAGCAGTGTGGGACGGCCCATTCATTCTCACTTTCCTCCACCTGCAGAAAAAGAAAAGATTTTTCTCATCACTGCTCAGTAATCAATAAACACTAAAACTGTCCTCCTTTTCTAGCTGGGATTGGAGTCAAACCTGGTTGCAGGAAGTGTGGAACAGCTACTTTTTGAGGAAAACCACCTACTTCCAAGTTTATTTTGGCTCTATATTACAATCTATTGTGTGGTTCTACTGCAGGAGCACAACACCACATCCAACAGGGCAAGGAAAGTGGTCAGAGTAGATTTGACTCATTACTTACCGGAGGGTCGAGCACTATCAGCTGCAAACCAAAGACAGAAAGAACAATCCCATCAGAACAGGGGATGGGGAGGCAGGAGGGCTGGTTATACGCCTAGGTGTGTGCAGGGGGGTCAAAACACCAGGATAAATAAATCCCTATTTCCAGATCAGCCTCTCACAGCAGTGTGAAAATGAAAGGACAAGAGGGTGTGCTCCAATTGTTTTGCTAATGTGGAAGGAAAAGGTTCATCACCTGCAGACAAGGCTGCTGAGACCGGCCTGGGAGCAGTTTGTGGCTTTGGTCCTTGTGCCCTGAAGGAATTCCTCAACCTGCCCTAGGCAAAGCCATCTCCTTAACCCTGTGGTGCAACTTGGAACCACTTACCAACATGCCATGCAGAGAGAGGTGTCCGTGGATTTTGAACTGATTTGTCCCTGTGACCCCTTTGCTTGTGTACAGTAACATATCTGAGAACTGGAAAGGCAGGAAGAGGACAATCAGTGTTCTGAAAGCAGCAGGCAGGGACAAGGATTTTTTGACATCTCCTTAAAAATCTGTTGTTTAAAGGCCGCAGTAGATGCATGAAAAATGCCATTTCTCAGTCAGTTTGGCAGACTTTCCTTAAATCCACTCACGTTTATTAACAAGAGAGGCAATTAAATTTTAAAACTCTGTTAAAACTGTGCCATTAAGGAACCAAGTTGACCAGAAGTAGTGCCACAGTCATGCTTTCTAAACATCCCATCTAAACATTTCAGTCTCAGGTGCTAATTTTTGACACAGGCACATGAAAACACACTTTCCCAATAACTTTATGTTGAAGACTTTGGGTTTATGAAAGCCAAAAGCAACACCCACCAGAAAGAACATCCGCTGCTGTAAGCCCTTCTTAGTGAGCTTGTACAAGCAACCTTCCCGAATAAACTCCTGCAGCAGAAAAGAGAAAGTTAGACAAAGCTTGATCTTTCCCAACTAGAGAATTTCATTTTCATCCCAGAGTACACAGATGTTGATTGGTGCCCAGCAGTGATCACTAACAGATTTGTTAAAGGCCAGATGACACTTCTCCTCCTGTTTTGTGACAAGAATCAGCTCCTTGCTGCAGCCAGCATTTAAATCAGTGAAGGAAGAGAAAGGAAAGAAGCAGAATTCCTGTCGGACACCAGCAGTTCACCTATCACACTTACATCCCACCGCAGTGACTGCCATAGCATCCCCAAAGCACATGCGATGCTCCTGTATTTATGCCCAACACATCTATCAAAAACAAAGAAACAAAAAACCAGGCAGGAGCTACACAAATTCCTGTAAAACAGAGACACCAGTTTAGCCCAGTTCCATGCTGGGAGTGGATTTCCTATGCAGTTCCCACTCAAACACAGAGCACCAGTGTACCCAGTATCTGTACTGGAAACACAGAACTGCAGCCAGAGTCTCAGTAGAAGCATTTTTGATCTGTTCCTCAGGACATCACCAAGGTGATGGTCCCATCATCCATGGGATTTACTATGAGACAGTTACACAGACACTTTACAGTCATCCCATAAACCAGAGGGGCAGCAATGGCAAATCCATGGTTCAAAGGCACTTCCTTGGCAATAAAACCAATACAGGCTCTAAAAATGAAGCAGAGGGACCTACCCTGCCAGGTGCTGTGAGATTGTCTATCCCAATCAGGTCATGCTGCAGCTCTATCAGCTTCTGGAAGTTTTCCAGGCGGATGAGGCTGTGCTGCAGCTGCGATGTCATCTCTGTGACTTCCTTCAGCGCGTCTGTACGGAAAACAGCACCGAGGGGATCAGAGCAGAGCAGAGAAACCCAGGTCACCCATTTCACCCACTCCTGGAAAACTGAATCTGAAATTTATATCTGAAATTTATAGCCAGCTTTAAAACAGAACAGTTTAGCTGGAAGGGACCTGCAATGATCACCCAGTCCAACTGCTAACTTCTTAAAGTGTGTTTTAGAGCTACCCAGCAGGTAAGTAGAGACTAACAAGCAACTTATAGCACAAAAAGTAAAAAATTAAAGCCAACTATTTCTGCCAAAGATTACTTTGTCATGAATGGAATTTAATATCTGCGGTTTTGATACTACAAAACAAGCATTTTTTGGTCACATTTTTACTTCTAAAAACCTACTTTTTTCCCTGCTAAAAAGGGAGACAAGAAAAGGACTAATTTTCAGCTTCGGTTGAAATCTTGAGAGCCTTTAAGATTATCTTGGGAGCCTTTAAGATTACCATGAGAAAACCACTTCCTGGAGCGTCAGACAAAAAGCATTTACACTGAATTTGTGGACATAATTGAACTTAAGTGTTCCAGACCAGGTTGAAGAGGGTGCTGTGAGCACCCTGGTCTAGTGGAAGGTGTCCCCACCCACGGGAGCAGAGTGCAACGAGGTCAGTTTTAATGTCCCTTCCAACCCAAACCACTCCACGATTCTATGATTCTACAATTCTTGTCTCCCCAGGGTACAGGCAAAATTTTGGATGTCCGTGGAAGGGGTGTCTGGCAGCAGGCACACAGCTGGGGGCTCACTCACTGCGGCAGTCGGCAAAGTCCCGGTGCTCCGCCGTGTAGTGCTTGCACAGCCTACCCAGAATCAGCTTGTAGTGCATCAGTCTCTGGATGGGTTTGAGCAGAAAGGTGTTGAGGGGCAGGTAGCAAACCTTCTGCAGCTCAAACTCCTTATAAACCATCTCCAGCTTCTTGAGGCGCTTGGTTGCTTTCTCCAGTTCTGTCAGGACCTCGTCGTGCTTCTGCAGGTAACTGGTGAACTCCTGGGGAATCGGACAAAGGATTACTCGGAACAAAGGAAAACAGTCTTTCATAATTCAAGAAAGTGGCAGACAGCTCCCAGTCAGGGTCAAAATAGGTCTGTATGGCACTTGTGCCCGTGCCTGCTGGGAATATACCAAATGCTGGTAGTCAAAATATCCGCCCCACACACCTGCACTCCCACTCAAGCCACTAGTTTTAATGGAATAATTACTCCACTACTACAGCACAAGTGTAACTGTTCCACAGAGGCACTCTGCACCAAACAAAGGTGACTTCATTGCAAAAGCTCTGTCTTTAAAAAATACGTATATTTTCGAATTAAATAACCTTACGAACCAGGGTCTCAATAGGGGAGCTAAAGAAACAATTTTTCTTTCTTTTCTGCTGAATAAGTAAAAACACCTTTTCTCAAGGTAAATGTAAGTGGCTAAATAAAAAAACAGTGATACAAAGCCTTCATGCAATTATTTTATTATGTTTTCTTTTTAAATTGTTATCAACAATAATTGTTTGCAAGTTACTTCAAGACTGACTGAAATATAGCAGGATTACATTGGATTTAGGGAAGAATTTCTTCCCTGTGAGGGAGGTGAGGCCCTGGCACAGGTTGCCCAGAGAAGCTGTGGCTGTCCCATCCCTGGAACTGTTCATAGCCAGGCTGGGTATGGAGCAACCTGGAATAGTGGAAGGTGGGCAGCGGGTGGGACTGGAGGAGCTTTGAGGTCCGTTCCAAACCAAATCATCCTGTGATTCTGTGATTAGTGGAAATACTAAACCTTGAACTCTGATCCTTGACAAAATGAAAAAAAAAAGACTCAATAATCCCAAAATTTCATTTCTTGAATCCTGTATTTACCTTTAGGATGCGCATATTCCTGAGCATGACATCTCCAATGCGCTGGTAATCTCCTTTCACGTGAGCATTGGTTCTGCCTTCCCTGGAACACACACAAGGAGGAAATAAGAAGGCAATGTAAACGGGGGATCAAGAAATTTCTATTTCCTCCCTCCATCTTCCTCTGTAATTCAAGACATGATCTTTAGCCACTTGAGATTCCCATTTCACTGTTCAGATGGAAAACATGTTACATTAAATATGGAAGCTGTATGAAGTAACAAACACAAAACTATGCTTAGAAAACTGAAAAAGGACTAGAAATGAATTTGTGTGAAAGTCTATTCAGGAGCTGAACTCTCAGATCCTTGAATAAATGTTGTAACATGATCACACCTGAATTTATTTTTGGTCATACTCCTTTTGAATGGTAATTATATTATAATATGTAACATGTCAGGTCAGGAGAAAGCAATGCAAAGGCTAAGAGACTAAAAACATGCTCTGTGAAATAAATGGTGCTGCAAGAACTGAACTCTCATCTTAACTACAAAAAAATGTTTCCTAGATTTTCAGCTGGAGTTTCATTAACTGGAAGGTGTGGAAAAAACACAGAGATTATCGTTTTGACCTTGTGTTCCTTCTCTTTTCTAAGGTTTGAGAGACATTACCAGGTTATATTAGCGACTGGACTTGACAATCTTAAGGGTCTTTTCCAACATTAATGGTTCTGTGATCACAAAACCCTTGGTCTGATGCACAACTCACATGACTGACTACAGGGTATTATACACAAGGCAGAGCTTGAAAAATGGGCTTTGCACAATGCATTTAGTACTTTTTTTATAACTATAATTTAGTAAAAGACTTCTCCTGAATTCTACTGATGCAGAAATACCAGTTCAAAGAGCGACTAAGTCTGGTTTTCACATGAGAGTGTAGAAAAAGGTCCCCCTGTTCGCTTACCAGAGCGACAGCCTTTGTTCAATCTCTTTCAGAAAGCCTCGATGGAACTCATAGATGGGGTCTATGTTGGAGAAGAGCAGTGTCATCAGGCCCTCTGGCATGGCATTCTCCTTGATGACCGCGCTGCGGAACCACTGCCAGAAAATCAGAAATTCCGATCAATTTCTCTACTTTGGAAGTTCATCGTTAAATCAGAGATTCCCGCTCCTGCAGCGATGGGGAAGGAGAAGGTATGCACAGGGAAACAGCAGGAAGGAAGGAGGAATATTTAGGGAAGACGTAATTTGTGAAAAATGAAAAGATGGGTTTTTTTTTTTCCTTGCCAAACATTAGGAAGATGAGACATGTGGCTGGCTCTGGGCATGAGCGTGTTTTGGAATGCAATGATGGGATGGTTGGTGACAGCTGAGTGACAGTCAGTTACCAGTGGTTGCCCCAGCTGCTGTCACACCACTGCTGTCACTTCCATGCAGACACAACTGCTCTCATACACCTTGGAGCCCTGTGCAAGTTACTCAGCAGTTGGAGACATCTCGTTGCAGGTCACACTCTGCACTTTATCGCTTTCGGTTCCCCACTTTCTGGCAGGGACGGGGATATTACAAAAATCCTCTGAGGTGCCAGGTGTTCCCCCATCTCTTAGAAGTGCTGGGAAGCCTGTAGGAGGAATTGGAGTGAGATGGTGCACGCTGAAGATGCAGAGAACACCTCAACTGAAGATGCAGGGCTTTAAGGGACTCCAGCTTTTCTTGGATAAAATTAAAACAACAGCTTATAGAAATGCAACAGTCACGGTGCTCAAACATGGAGCTCACGAACAAAAAAGCTCATTCAGAAACAAAGCTGGAAACTCACACTGTCCTCCAAACCAAGACTCACTTGCCTAGTCTGGATAAAAGGGAGTGGAAGAAAAAGAAACCAGAAAACAAGACAAAACTCCTCAAACCCCCATGGGCCCTTGATGCCCTTTGCAACTGCCATCTGCTCTCAGATCCAAAGGCACAAAGGATAAAAGCTTCCCAAGGAAAACTGCTGAGGTGATGGTCAGGTTACAAGCAGAGCTGGCAGCTATCACTGAAACTGAATGCAAAACACTTTTAGGGTGTCTCTGTTCACAGTTTTAAGAGGAAAAGTTTGACTAAATTATCAGGATGGAACCGGATGGAGCTGCTGGAGCTAATGTCAGAAGTCCAGAGAAGGTATCTGCTCTCCCACAGGAGGAGCCATGGAACAAGGAAGGGGACAGCTACTTGGCTAATGGATTATGCTATATGTTAGGAAGAAATTCCAAGTTTTTCCAAACTAACAATTGGGCACAAATGTGCCAAGAAAAGCCAAACAAAAAAAAATTAAAGAAAGCCAAACCCCCTTACCACTGTGATAACTTCCAGGTCTTTTAAATAGGTCCGTTCCGTGGCGAGAATCTCCTTTGCTATGAAGTACGCCTTGTCGGTGGGGTAGCGCTGAAAGGATACACAGCCATCAATAAAAAGTAAAACACAAATGCTCTAGTTATTACTGAGCATCAGCTCAAACCTTACATCCATTTCCCCTTGCTGTGTGCAAATGGAGCAGCCCGTTACTAACAGGGCATCTCTGTGTTCAGTATCAATTCCCAAACAATGACTTCACAGTATTTTTTATATTTCAAGATTATTGAAAAATAACGTCAGTTATATGTCGACTGTCATAAAACATTCAGTGCCCTCCTCTACTGACACCATCAGTGCCCAGCACAGCTCCTCACCTGACACCATCACTTCCCAGCTACGTCATGATCTTACCTTCCGTTTCATTTCATCATCCTCTTCTATCCTGGCCCCGCCAGCGTCGCTGAGGACAGGACTCAGCAGAGGGGATGAGCCCTGGGCAGCTGCGTTCAAGTTCACCTGAAAGGCCGGGGTCAAGCCCAGGGGATTCTTCAGCACAAGAGAGGAGAGCTGGGGATGGTCCACGGGGAGGCCTGGGTGAGAACAAGAAAATGGAGTGGAAAAGGAGAGAAAATTATTTCAAAGATAATGCAACTAAGGTGATTACTCACTGTTACAGCAAACCAGAATTGCATTCTCATAGTATTTTTAAGAAGGCAAAAGACCAAAAAGGCATACAGATCCAAAGACTTCAGTGTATATCTCAAAGCAAAGGAAACGTTCCCTGATCCCATGGGTTATGTGGCAGTGCAGTAAGGATGGACACTGCTACATCTGCAGTTAAGGGAAGGATAAATTGCTTAGTGTCAAGGAAAAAGTGCTGTTGATCAGCAACACAGTTCACAACATAGGGTTATACTGCAGGGACAAGAACACAGCTTTCATTTTTCCTTCTCAATACAAGAGCTACTTTTCAACCCAGGGAAAAGCTAGGACAAATCATTCCACAACTCACCACTCCAGATGACAAAGTATGTTAAAAATACATTCAGAAATCAGGGAATCTCCAAATTTGGTCCAGCGGCAGAGGAAAACCTCTTGCTATATAGAGAGGGAGCATGCAAGAGAGTCCATTCCTGGCTCTTCTAATATACAAATAGAATAACCTCAAGGAAACCAATTTTGCAGCACTGAGTATTAACTGAATGGACACAATCCACAGCTAAACCTATTACAAGCAGGAGCAACAGGTACTGTTTTGCTTTAGATTATTAATTGCCTTTTTAAAAAATATTATTATTATTATTTCATTTGTGGATCCTTTAGAGATTTCTGCACATAAGGCACCATCGCAGTGAATTTAAGCCTCCTCTTTTCAGCATGTGGACCCCCTCTTGGGGGTTCACAGAGAAAATGACCATGCAAGATTGGCTTTTTGGGACCAAACAAAGGCAACAGACGCTCCAATTACACTACACACACAAAATTCCTCCTAACCTCATATACTATTTTTTCTGATCTTCCCTGTGATAAACAGATGAGTTTCCTCAGATGAGGCAACTAAACATGTACCATCACTTCAGTATCTCCTGCTCAAACACCCAGCCACGCTCCCAAGCCTCCCCAGCAGGATTTGTTGAGTCACAAGTGCTAAACCACCTGCCCAAAGGCAAACAGGGAAATCAAGAGCCAACCCTAAACTGCCAACCCATCATTTCCCAGATTACTTAGAAATCACCACAAAAGGCTTTAAAAAAAAAAAAAAAAGAAAAAAAAAATCAGTCTCCACAGATATACAGTATTTCCTGACACAGTCACGAGGCTCGGGTGCTGGAGAAGGAGTTGAGAGCTTTCGATTCCCAGCTGCTCAGGCTCGGGAAGCACACCCAGGGCGAGGCAGCCCCAGCCTGTAATTCCACATGGACAAACGCAGGAAGCTAAACAGTGCTGCACTCGGTCACCTGGAAGAGATTCAGATCATCCAGGCTGCGGAGTTAACTATTCATACACTAGTCCAGTACCAATTCTGGAGCAGATTTTTGCTTCTGCCTGAGCACTGTCTCCATTCCCACTACTTTTAATATCACCCCTGGAAAGTAGCACTGTCTGGCATTTGTTTTACCTATCCAGATACAGGAGTTTATTCAAAGTTTGCTTTTACATGCCAGGAATTCTGAAACAAGAGCTTCCAAACAAATGAGCTTGCAGGGGAGAGGAGTTTCTTTAAGTTATTGGAATTTAACATGAAGCAGTAACTTGCATTGTTTCCAGACAGCCCAAAAGCTCAGATACAGGAGGAGCAAATGGGATGTAACTTGCTCTAAACTTCACTCCTTGCCTATTTCAGTTGGGTTGGTAAGCTGGCTGGTAAATTAATTTCAAATACTGCATCCAAAAGCAAGAACCCCACAGCCCAAGGCCAGAGTGACTGATGGAAATGAGAGACATATTCACAGAATCCCAGAATGGTTTGGGTTGGACGGACCTTAAAGTTCATCTCGTTCCCCAGCCCTGCTGTGGGCTGGGATACCTTCCACTATTCCGGGTTGCTCCAAGCCCCGTCCAACCTGACCTTGGACACTTCAGGGATGGGGCAGCCACAGCTTCTCTGGGCAACCTGTGCCAGAGCCTCACCACCCTCATGGGGAAGAATTTACTCCCAATACCCCATTTGAAACTACCCTCCTTCAGCTTAAGGGCATCTTCTCTTCTCCTGTCACTTCCAAAATTTGCCTTTTCTAGAAAAGACTATAAAAATGTTGCAGAGCAGCTTGGGTTAGCTTTTTGGCTAACATTTGTTTCATTAAATGTTTGATAAATGCCCAGTATGATGATGTGTCTTGGCAGATGACATTACAGGTGAGGACTGAAATTTTCATTCTCATAATCCAAGTCTTCTTCACCAGAGCAGCACAGGGGGACTTCAGGCAAGCAGGTAGGATGTACAGCAATTCCTTATTCTCCAGGGGAAGGATGGTAAAGGGAGAAGCCATTTCAACAGCTGTTCAATGTAGAAAACTCCTAATTAGGTAGAAATATTGATGCAAAGATCAAACCCTAGTGCTCCGAGGTCCTCCCTTCCCTGCAGGCAGCATCCTCCAGATATATGAAAAGGGATTATTCTTTCAGAGGAATGTTTCCATGTTTCAATGTTCTGCACAAAGTAGAAAATTGTTCTCTACAAGTAAGTCACACAAACACCCCAAATTGGTGTTCGTAAGTGCTGCAAGCAGGAGCCAGGGCTTTCCTGCAATGACGTGGGGATTCAGTGCTGCAGCCCAGACCCTCAGACACAGCTGCATTCTGCACACAGCAAACTTCTGCTTCCACATCACATACAAATGCACTTAAGGCAACATCCAAAAATGCATCAGCTCGGTGTAATATTCATACTCAAAGATCTTTAAGACTACTAATGCTTCTTTCACTATGTAGTTAGAAACATGTATCCTTAAGCAAACAAACCCAGTGTCATAAAAAGACCAACATGCATGTAATTGAAATAAAAAGTCATCAATAAAGCATGGCAAAAGCACTGTAGTTTGCATGAGCACAGCTACAGACTTGGGTGAGGATGCTGGCCTTATCCACCACAGCTACTTGGTAATATTGGTTATGTAGAAGCAGGCTCCATTTGGTTTCCCCTGAGGTAACAAGTAGAATGATAATAAGCTTTTGACATCACTTCCCAGTTAGTTTTTCAGAGGGTATTTCCATTCCTCAATCTAAATTCAGTTCCTACACAGAAAGCCAGATTTCAATGCACAGGTGGGCCAAAATAAAATGTAAGTATAGGTTCTATAAGCTTTATGCCTGGATGCCTAAAATAATTCAAAGACAGACAACTAAAATAGTATCCCAGTAATACAGAGAATTATGGGATGGAAAAAAGCTATATGAGGGTTCAATGTCACCAATGACTCCTTATCAAATGGAGGGCCTCTTGCATTTCACAGAAAAATAACTTTATTATTATATTATTGTTATTACTACTACTTCAAACAGATGAGACTGTTTTTAGGCTTAACACCCAGCAGAGGCTGACTAGAAAAAGATGGGAGTCCACTCAGAGCCCCTCTTCTGCTCAATGCCCTGCTGAACCCATTTCATGCACAGACCAAATAATTATTTCCAGAGCGAAGTCATTAGCAAGCCAACATACTACAAGTGAAATCCTAGAAAACACCCTACCTTCCTTATTTCAAAATACCACAACCAATAGATTTTTCCCCCCTGCAAATCTTTCCTTTAAAAAGATGAAGGATAGTTGGGAGAGAGGGAGAATCTTGAAAATTATCTAAAAGCCTAAAAACCCACATAAGAGACTTTAAATTCAAAGATCTCTTTCTTATCCTCAAACAGGTACAGATCACATTAAACGTTAAAGCAGGTTTATAGCACATGGCACGTGCCCCAGTGCAACTGTGTGTACCTGTGAAGCCACATCTACACCCGGTACTGTTGGAGAGTCCAAAGGCTGCTCCCGGTTTTATGGTTACACCCAGCACCTGAAACAACCTCCCTTCTTTTGCCACCTCCCCCCTGCTTTGTAAAGGCCATGCTGTTTGCAGGAAAAGAGAATTTACCTAAACATTGGCCATGGACTCCTGCAGGAGAACTTTCCACCTAGAAAACGTGCAATTGCCTCCACATGCTATGTTTGCAATAAAGGACAAACTTCCAATAAAACCAGGTATACAGGAGAGAGTTCGAGGGACACATCCAGTTTAAAAGAAAAGGTCTCCCCAATAAATGTAATTCCTACAAAGAAATCTGAACTTCCAGTCCCATATGTATGCCAAGCAAAAGGTCTGCACACACCAGGAATTTGAAACCCACACACCAGTGTTTGTCCCAATTGTGCTCTACTTTCAATGAAGGGGTACAGGGAGAAAACTGTCTGGAGAAAGCTGGGAAGAGAACTCTTAAGATGCCTTGGCTAGGAGAACAAATATTTATTCTATTTCAAAGACAAGGGTAACGAAAATAAAGCTAAAAAGCCCATGTTGTCATTTATATCAAAGTTTTCCTTGTTTTATTGCATAAACAATTAAAATTATGAATTAGTACAAATCTGTAGTTTCATAATTGCAAATCTGAACAGACACAAAGATACTCAAAACCCCAACATATAATTCAATAAACATTTAGCGTATAAAAGATAAAAGTTCAAGAGATCAATTAAGAAATTCCAGCTCTCTTTGTTTTAATGTAATCCTTTCCTGGCAAGAGTAGCACCTATGGAACGGGGGAGTCCCTCTAACCAAGGCACACGTACCCCTGTATGTATCGATAAACTGGAATTTTGTGTTTCGAGCAACAGTGGAATATTGTGACTTTGGAAAACGTACAGCAACACCTTCCCACAGACCAGGTTCAATTAACCACACTCCAAATTTGAACCTCCAAAGCTCCAGCTCACCTGCTGGACTAGTCCTATGAGAGCCCATGAGCAGGTAATGAATTAAGTGGATTTTATGATGCATTCAGAACTGTAAATTCTCCCCATCTTTATACAGCATATACAGTGTATATGTACAGCCATACATATACACACTGCATTTGTGAGCAGTGAGGTGTAAGAGCTCCTAAA